TACCCATTAAGGTATACACAAGCAAAACAAACTGAATCAGTGGCTGAGCCCAGACCAGACCACAAAACTGCAGTCAAAATAAGCAGCTGTTACTTCAAACCAGTATGCTTTTGATTGTTGGTTTAGTTTTGAAAAACGAATAAGGAAACCAAGAACCTATTATGTTCCCAACCCTAAATAATTTGCCAAGGAAATACAAAGAATATATGTGAAAGGAATGATATAGGTGTGACTTTCAGGTTTGGAGCTACAACGTGACATGCCTATTTTCACTGAAATTTTCAGAATTTACATTGTATACAGAATGTTTCAGCTATATATTTGGTTACCCAAGATGACATGGCAAGTTAAATATATTAATCATTTTTGCTAAAAAAAAAAAAGTCAAATAATAAGCATGTAGAATCTCTATATTTTTAGGTTTGTCTTTTTTAGAGTTTCTAGTATAAAATATGGAAGTTCTTTTAAAATGCAAAAATGCTTCATGTTTTTTTGTGAAAGCATTACTCTAAATGGATGCAATTTAGGCTTTAAGTATTGTTTGCAGTAAAATATTAAAGGTAGCTTTTGATTTGAAATATTTAAATTAAGGATGTCTGTAGATTAATTTCAAAATTAAAACTCATAATCAGATGTTAATTCTAATTATTTTCACTTTCATATAAGTGTAAAATTGTATTTTTATCTCTAAGGTAACATAATGAACCATGAATCTAAGATGTGAAAAACTGTATACTAATGAAGTCATAATTCCCTTGTGCGTATGATGGGAGTTTTTTTTTTTCTCAAAGCATAACTGAACATATAAAGAATCTCTTTTAAGTGTTTGATTAGCAGCAAAATTAGTGAGCTAGAAACATTCTTTCTAATACAATGGAGATGTAAGAGAGTTGGAAAATCTCCAAGTGAGTATTTGGAAACAGGGACAACTTAATTGTTCTGAGAATGAAAGACAAATTATTGATTACATTTTTCCCAGGAAGGCATTCTCTTTAAAATTAAAACTGATTTTGTTGGTATCTTTGACGAAGGAAATGCTGATCTTCTCTCAAAAAATGCTCATCACATAGCACTTAGGAAATGTTTAAAAATTAATTCTAAGTGCAAATATGTCCTTTAATTATGAATCTCTTAGACTTGTTGCTCATTTGAACTAAATGAAAATTATGGTTCTTCATATTTTTTCTTACAAATTAACCATAGTCAGAAAATATGAAGATGAATTCATTATTTGTTTTATGAAGGAAAAAAATTTTTGACATTTTGAGCCAACATTACTGTTTTTAGTATATATTTAAAAATCTGATTTCTAGGAGATAATGATTGTGATTTGCTGTATCTGAAACAATTAGATCTTTTTATAATGTTTCTTTAAACATATTTTAAACTATAAACCTGAAAATCAAAGGATGAAAGGGGAGGCAGAGACAGGAAGAGCCCTGTGACCTGTATGCCCTTCAGTCTGGCTGAACTGGTAAGTCCCAGGTTAGTGAAAGACTTGTCTCAAAATGTAGGGTGGTTCTTGCTCACAGAATCCCTCTTCTCTCTCCTCGACTGGACTCCTGGAGTTCAGCCTGGTGTTTGGCTGTGGATCTCTGCATCTGTTTCCATCAGTTACTGGAGAAAGGCTCTATAATGACAGTTAGGCTACCCACCGCAGATCATGATGGGGAAACCTATAGAGACAACCAAACATGTAGTGGGAACTGGTGAAATTTAGATCAAAGGCTATGGAGTCTACATGGGACTGGACTAGGCCCTGTGCATAAGAGAGAGAATTGTGTAGCATGATCTGCTTAAGGGGCCCCCTGGCAGTAGGATCAGAATCCATATCTGGTGCATGAGCAGGCCTTTTGGAGCCCACTTCTATGATGGGACACCTCACACAGCCTTGAGGCAGGGGGAGGGGCTTGGACCTGCCTCTACTAAATGTACCTCCCCATAGGAGGCCTTATCTTCTTGCAGGAGAGAATAGGGGATGGAGTGGGGGAGGAGGCTGGAAGGGCAGGAGGAGGGAAGAGGGAGATCTTTGGTATGTAAAATGAATAATTTTTTTTCTTAATGAAAACAAACAAACAAAAAGTAGGGTGGCAAGATATTGAGGAAAATATCTGGCACTGGCTTCTAGCTTCCATATGAGCACACACGTACACATGTACTTATCCATGTACACATACACACATGCACACATGTGCATATATATACACACATATGAAACAGTAAAATTGCTTAAATATTAAATAAAATGCCTAGTGAAGTATTTCTTAATTCTAATTCCACTCTAAAGGAAGGTATAAAATTTCTGGGCAGGATAAGAAATTATGCTAAAACAAGTTATTTCTGCATGTATGGTGAGCATATATCTGCATTACTGTTGTATGTGCTTCATGAAGATGTGAAAATGAATCATATTTCTCTTGAGTAACTAGAAATTTTCGTGTTCCTAGTTGTGAATATATCAGATGACAGAATGTTTTAAATGGTATCAAAATCAGTTTTGTGGTTCTACACAAGCAGAGGTTCCTCCAATGTATAAGAGAAACATAGCAATAGCCAGGCTAGGTGTGGAGGGGGAGAAGGTGATCAGAAATGGAGAGACACAGGTAAGCTGGTGCTTGGGACAGTCACGTGCTTACCAGCAGTGTGAAGAGAGCATCACTCGCTGCACAAGCTGCGGAATGAGAAATGTGGGAAAGTCACACGTTTTCCTATCTGTGGTTAATGTCCGTTTTGAAGATGCTGATAGAAAGGAAGGAAGGAAGTCAGGTGTTTCCAAGCAAAGCTCACGTCTAGGAGAACAGCCGATACCTCTGGCTTAACTCCATTGTTAAAAAGTCCAAAATAAATTTCAAAAGAACCACATAACATGGAGACTAAAGGTAAAGAGACGAAAATTAGGGAAGAAGCATGATATTAAGGTTTCATGGAAAACTATATAATTATGTCTCTTGTGTTAGCTAGGATAGGATTATGGGCACACAATATGTATGATGAAAGAAAACATAAAAGTTAAGTAGAATGTGTGCATGTGTTGGAATTTTCAAATGTTGGGTTAAGGGGTCCTAACAGTATTAAATAAACTCACAAAGTTAACAAAAGTCTGTCAGTGCTCTAACCCATGGAGTGATATGGTAAACTGGTACATTTGAGGAAGGAGACTTTGATGGAGGTCTTTGGAAAGTAAGCTACTAAGGGAAGGTTGCTATGATAATCCAGACAGTGAGGCCAATGAGATGCTCAGAAGGTAGAGGTGTTGCTGTCAGCCAGACAAGCTGAGTCTGATCTCTGGAACAGACATAAAGGTAGAAGGAGAGAAGTGACTCCATAAAGTTACCTTTGATCCACACACATGTACTTTGGCATACACACCTCACATATGCATCATGAATAGGCACACACACACATACACACACACACACACACAGCAATAATACATATACACACACATAGCGATAATGTATACATACATAGTAATAATACGCACACAGCAAAAATACATATACACACAACAATAACACACAGCAAAAATACATATACATACAGCAATAATACATAAATACATACACACATATCCAAATGTTGAGTGTTAAGTAAGAATATTGAGTCAGGAAGAGCAGAAAGAGTGGAAAGCAAGATGCTGTCAGAAATGAAATACAATATTGTATAGGTAAATACATTTTCACACAGGTAAAACAAGCTGAAGTCATTGGTATCTATCATTTTTTTTCAGATACTTTTTGCTTCCTTCCTCATGACTAGTATTGCCTAAAGGTTTTATGCCCCCCTCCTTTCCTCCTTCCCTCCCTCCTTCTGTCTGTTTTCTCCCTTTGAGGCTTTGTACTGCTTCCCAGGCTGTCATTGAACTCGGGGGCTTCGGGGATCTTTATGTCTCCAAGTCCCTGGGACTTAAGGCAAGTACCACTGTTCTAGGTGACCTACGGAATGAAATTTTCTTTCATTCTGTTTCATTGTTTGATGCGAGTATCTGAACACCACCAGTCTAATAAGCTAGGCTGAAACTTTGGGCTGAGATTATTTCCTGCTTCCTCTATATTCGTGAAGAGTTTACACAGAATAAGCAATTCTTCTTTGAATATTTGGTTGGCTTTCCAAGTGAAGCCAAGAATCTTAGCATTTGCTAGATACACAGTTATGTGAGCTGTCTATTTTTTTTTCAAATAAGGTCTCTGGTTACATGTTTGGAAGAATTTGCATGTTTTACTGAACTTACCAAATTTTGGCTGAAGTGATTTAGAATGTCCTTACATTGTTCCTTGATGTTACAGTACCCACCCTGATATCCTCTTTCAATTTCTAGCACAAGCCACCATCTGTGTTTCTGTTTTCTTTCTTCATCAACTTGACAACAGACTTTCCCAAGTCTATTGATCTTACCAAAGTTTCAGCTTTGGTTTCCAAACACTGGTTTTCTGTGATGCATACTTCTACTGACATTTTTTTTAAGTTTTTCTTTGCTGTGTGGGTAAATTATATTTTTTTTGACTGATTAAATTGGAAACTTAGAACTTTGATTGGAGCTGTTTCTTTTTATAATGAAAACTGAGTGCATCCATTTCTTTCTGAGCGATTGGGATGCACTCTGAATTTGGTATGGATACTTTGGTTGTGAACAACTTCAGAAGGTTTTATGTTCCTAATTAACTCTCGTGAAAATGTCAAGTGGGGAAGCTATGGCCTGAGCATATTTGGAAGTGAAGAAATGAAGACAGACAAACTGAAGGCTCAGGATGGGACCTGAAACTCGAGTTTGCTTTTAAATATCTTGCTCTTCCCACAGCGCCATATGGATTCTTGGGCTACTTCACAAGTTATCAGATGTTGAAAAGTAGAAGAAATTCATAATCAGACAACATTTTGGATATAGGAAGATATCAAAAATTATTTTGGTCCAGCCTTAATAATCTTCTTCCCAGGGGCCCAGAAGAGAAGCTACGAACGGCACTAATGATTTTCAGGAAAAGAATCTAAGTACACCAAGCTCTTCGTCCATAGATTTATTCTTCTCTGTTCCCGTAAGTTTTTGAGGTTTACAGTTATAAGCCCAAGCAATTTCAATCCTCTTCCTCCAGCCAGGCCACCAGGCTTGAATTCTTACAGGGTCATAAAGGCAGGTAAGAATTTTCCTCAGGCAGTGACTGTCAGGCTTTCTTTTACAACCTGAAAACGGAGTGGTTCAAGGAGGAGGTCAACTGAGAGTTAATATTGGTTAATATATCAAAAAGAGAATTTATGTGCTCAATCTACATTCTTAGAGGTAGTTAGGTAAAATGTTAGGAGTCTATAGTGTTAGTATAAATACCACTAAGACTGTATAAGAAAGGAGGGTTCCACCTGACCTAGGCAGTGTCTCTGTATGGAATTTACCTTAATTCGGCAGACTAGCATGTGGTGGTCTGAAATGTTATTTCTGTTTGTCCTTGGATGTAGCTAAGGGAGATAGCTGATTCTTGTGCTAAAAAAGGGAGAAACCAGAAGGGCCTGAGGCTGTTCTCCAAATACCTCAAATGTCTATGTCCAAAGAGTGATCAGTCCACACTGTTAGCAATTCTTAGGGAAAAAATCAATTAGAAAAACTATGAAGACACACTTGATATTCATAGCAGAAGACAGCTGATATATTAAAACCCAAAGAGCACCAAATACCCCTTAGGATTTGGCTTCATCTGAAGGAATTCCTGGATCCCTTCAGGTAGTGGCTTTGTTGTAGCCAGCTGAGTTTTGATTTTATATTCTGGCGGCCCCATAGCAGGAAGAGAAGAAAAACCTCTTTACAAGAGAGGTGGTTTTGGTTTTTTTCACCATGGTGCTGCTGGTGAAGGGGATCAGGTGGTATCTTCTTAGTTTTGTTCCTTAAACACCCTGAAATACGCCCCTAAATGCTGTTTCATCTGGGGGAAAATCATCTATTCTTTTCTGTTTCCAGCCACTGTAGCGGAATTGGGCTAAATATGGCTTCATTTACTTTCGATTAGACTCTTCCATATTCAGGCAGACATGTCCAATCTAAGAAAGCAACAGGGAACAAAGAAAAGAGTGGGTTGGGGGCCCTAGAATGTAGATCTCAGAGGAATCAGCTCTGTAAGTAGATCCTGGCTGCCAGCTGTGGAATTTAGAAAGTCTTCGAAAACTGTGATTTATAACCAATCATAGCATATGAAATAGCATTTGCATGATTTGAGAGTATCAAAGTGTTAATAATATCTATATAAAATATTCCTAGAATTTAAAGAGAGGAATAAGAAACAAAACTTGACAGAAAATGGGAAATATATAAATGGGCCTCATCATCAAATTTATATTGGAAAAGTTATTAAAAATTGCTTTTGAAAGATGTGCTGTGACCAGACAGTATGCTCACCATTTAAACTGACACTTGGGCATGTGGTTAGATAGTGTTCTGGGAAACAATGAGAAAAATAAACAAAGTGAGCCCAGACCTAGTAGAATATAGATGCAAATCCAGCAATCATGAGGCTGAGATAGGATGGTGAGTCCTGTTCTGTCCTGTGCTATCCTGAGCTCCACAATGGAACTCTGTCTCAAAACAAATAAAAACCCAAATCAAACAAATAAACAACAAAAACAAAAATCCCCTGCCAAAACTCTAAATAAATAATTAAAATAATACAAAGTAAAGGCCAGCATTGATGTATGAAATATCAACCAAACAGATGGAATGGATTCAGCAGCTGATTCAGATAGCAGCAAATTTTTCTTTGCAAAACAAGAGGCTGTAGAAACCAGACATAAATGCTAGGAATCAATTAATATTCACAAAAGTCTGCAAGGAAGCACTCCTTCCTGTAAAAGAGAAGAAGAAAGCTCCGTGGAAAAACACTGTTTAAATGGAAAAATAAAGATGACTTCAAAGAAGGGAAAACGGAAGGAAACAAGTTACCAAAGGTGGATAAAATGCTTTGATGCTAGGAAATGTCTGATGGTGACAAGCAGGAAAAACCTTAATCAACCAGGAACAGAGGAAAAGAATGATATATTTAAGAAATTTAGTCACAGTTTTCCACTTAGCATAAAAACACATCTGGGGTAGGGAGCTGTGAATGGTTCAGTAGGTAAAGGTGCTTGCAACCAAGAGTGATGACCCAAGTTTGATTGTTGTTACCCATGTGATAGGAGGATAAAATCAAAGCCAGCACACTGCATCCTCAGCATCCATTTGTGTGTTGTTATGGAACATAAGTTTCCACACCCATGCAAATAAATAAATTGAATAAATAAATACTTGTAAAAAACAAACTACATGTGGTGAAATTTTGAAATCAGCTCCAGTCTGTGCACATCTCCTCAGAAATACATACATATATGCACATAGAATGTGGATCCATGTCAAGAAGTTCAAAGGTCTCCTAAATAGCATTTGTACATTCTGTGTTGAGGTGCAGTTCCAAGTCTACAGCATAACACAGGGATATAGAGCAGCATTCTTCAAATCAACATTGTATGGAACATTTCTTTTTTTCATTTTGCTGGAACCAAACATCCCCAGTAAAATAAACTTGCGAAAGTCCAGCACACTAAAGCCTAAGCAGATGCCAAAATGTCATTACTTCTCACGGCCTTTTACATGCAATGTAAGATCATGTCCCTCATCAGCTAAGCATGATTGACATTAGTCAACATGTATTCATTTTATGATGCTATGAATCCTGAGGGATGTGTGCTATTGCCCCTGCCCCCTGCTCTTTACATTGACAAGGGAACTGAAAAACAGCAAGATGAAACAGTGTGTTTTAATATTGAAACAGCTGGCAAATTAGAGATAGGATTCGTTCCCGGTCCGTAGTCTGTGTTACTAACCTTGTCAATAAAAACAGGAAGCAGAGAATTAAAAAGACCAGGAAACATTTTTATTTTGATGGAAACTCATCAGTCTTCTATGCAATGCTGTTATATAGAGCATGATATGGAAAATAGTAACACAACTAATAATGTGGGTTGAATAGCATATATATATGTGTGTGTGTGTATGTATATATGTATATATATAAGCTAAGACATCATACAGTTATGTAATAGAAAATTCATAAAAAACAGTAGTAAATACTTACAAAACTTGATTACTTCTTAAACAGCTAAAATATCTTAGCATACATATTCTATATAGAACTAGAACATACATTTTATATATTTCCTATTCCTTGGTAGCAATGCAATTCAACTAGTAATTAGTAACTGTATCAGTTATTATATCATTGCAGCTGCTGAAGTGGGGTCTTGAAATAATGGTCCCTAAAGGGATAGATGTTAATTTATCTCTTACAACAATAATTTTGTACATTTTCAGGTCCGATAAAGTAGCTCCTTGGAGACTGGGTCTTCTGCTTGCTCATTCCAGAAGCTGCTGTTTTCACCTGGGATCCAGGAAGGTCCAGATCCTTCCTTCTTCAGATCTGCATTTGCAGAATCAGGAAAAAGACAAAGACTTCCTTTTACTGTCACTGTTCACATCCCCTACCATCCTAGAATCATCACTCAGTTTTCCTCTTGGCTCTTGGTGAGATGGCTACAGACAGTTACAAAAGCAGGTGAGAAGAAGCACTCAGTTAAAATATATGCCACCATATCAGAAGATGGTAGCAATGTTGGAGCTGTGGGTCAATCTTAGGAATTTGGGTAAGGGTGGGGGGTGATTCCCTACTCATGGCAAGGTTAAAAATCAAAAATATTCATAGAAGAACTAAACACGGTAGGATTCTGCCAGACCAGTACTCAAAAGAAAATATAATGCTTTAATGTTTTTCATGTTAAACAAGAAAGAATGAAAATAGATTAATTAAACATTCCAGTAAAAAGAAAGGAATAATTTTCTAAATGAGTATAAAATGGCAGGGATGAATTAATAAAGATACGATTGGAGATCAATAATTTATAAGTGAGAGAACAGTTGAGTGATAAATTTAAATGCTAGCTCTCCAAAAGATCGTTAAAAGAGATAAACTGCAGAAAAGGCAAACCAATAAAAAAGAAAGATGCTAATCCTTGGCATTATGTATGAAAAGAGGATATAATCACTATAATCACTACAAGAAAAACAATCCTGTACTTACACAAGAAACCAGCAGTGTCTGTCAGAGTACCTCCCCTGGACCAGGCCCCTCATTGTTAGTACTTAAAGGAGCTCAGCCCACAAAAGACACCTGTCAATACAGTAATATATATGTTAATCTGTTATAGTAACAACATCAAATTCGACCTAAAACAAACTTGGAAATGGAGTAGATAAGAGCTGGGCATGCTGGTATATTTCACCATTCTGAAGGCTGAGACAGGAAAATCGTAAGTTCAAGGCTACGCTGAACTTCATGTTGACTTTAAGATCATTTAGGGCACTATCTTTTCTCAAATACCAAGCAAATCAACAAAGAAACTACAAAAGAAAGAAGGATGTTAATATTTTTCTATTATATTCTATATACAATTTGCTTTATTTAGTACTTTTTCTTTTTTAAATTCATTTACTTAGTGTGTATATGTGCTTGTATGTGTGCATGCACATACATGTGTTACCATAGGGAAATATGAAAGGAAATTCCATATAAACACATTCAAAAAGAAGTTATTAGATTATTTTAAAATAGAGTTGGGTTGTAAAACTAGAAAATTTCTGTAAGTAACAATATTTCACATTAATAAAAGATCAAACCAACAACAGCATATACAGTTTAAAGATTGTGCTTATCCAATAACTTGTAATATCCATGCTAGAATGATAGATGATAGAGGTATAAATCAATGATAAATAGAATATAAATAAATAGTAAATAAATAACATAAATATGTAGATTAGAGATAACGTATACATAGAATAATATAGTTCAATGGTAGATGAAAATGTAACAAAAAAGATAAATACTTCCAAATATATTGCAGAAAATTCAACTAATTACTATTGAGGGTAAATAGAGTAAATAGACAAGACAAAAATTCTATATGCAGGATCTAAACAACACAACCAATGACTTACTGGCATACATTCTCATACAAATGGGATTAAATACATAGTATCTTTAGATATACAATGAATCCATACCAAAAATGAATCTTAACAGATTCCAAATAATAATACAGAGACTAGGCTTCTAATTACTACTGATTCAAATTAAAAAACAAAACAAAACAGGATAAATAACTAAAAATCTCTAACTTTTGAAATTTAAGCCATTTACTCTTCAATAACATGAGAAAAAGTCAGTGGAGGTTCGGTGGCCTATCTATGAAGCATCAATGGAGCAGATTTTAAAAAAAAAGGAATAAAAATGAAGTCATGTTCTTTAGAGAGTTTTAAATTCTCATGTTAGAGAAGAAAGGTGTTGATAATCAACATCTAAGATCCCATTTCAAGAATTCTCCTAGCAAAATGAACAGCACATTAAATACTTATGCAAAATAGATTGATGTAAAAAATAAAGGGCATAAATAAATGAAATACTAAGCACATACATTAAATATACAATCAACAATGTGCAAAGTTCTTTTCTGGTTTTGGATAATAAAATTGCTAACAACCTACATGATTAACCAAATAAATAAAATAAAACCTGCTTATCAATATAAGAAACAAAAATAAAGTCGGGCGGTGGTGGCGCACGCCTTTAATCCCAGCACTCGGGAGGCAGAGCCAGGTGGATCTCTGTGAGTTCGAGGCCAGCCTGGACTACCAAGTGAGTCC